CTTTTATTTCAGTAACTCTAGCTTGATCTATCAACACAATGTCTATGGGAACATGACGGTTGCCCAAACTGACACAATTCTTTTTTTAAACTTTTTGCACTTTCAAAAACATTTTGTTTTGATAACACTTCAAGTGTTTTAATAGCATCAACTGCAGAGTAAAATCAATATCTGTTGGGGCACATATAATGGAGATTCGATGTGTACTCTAAAGGTTGTTGACATTTTCCCCTGTTTAATAGTATGTAATGCTGCTCTTTACTTAAAATAGATAAAAACTATCCCAAGTACATCCAAAAGCTTTTCCTTTAAAGTTGACTGGCCTTCACAAAAAAATTCTTGTGGAAAGAGCACTGCAATAATATTCATTACATATACAAGAAATCGATTGAAATGCATTTGTTAGACTGATATCGATAACTAAAAAAATAGTACCGTGGGTACTGGGCTCACATGGTGTTGCTCAAAAGTGAATGATGGCTAAAATGACTGAAAAAAAAATGGATATAATTTTTTGCTGATTTTTTGTAAAATTATTATTTCAAGCCACTTGCCACTATTTTGGACTGACTGAGAGACAGATGGACAAATCGATGTTAAGTAAAATGGCTGAAAAAAAACGGATATAATTTTTTGCCAATTATTTGTAACAAAATTATTTCATACAACTACTCTTTTCAGTGACATGGGTTTTTGCAATGCAGGACACCTGAAATTATTTGTAAAGCTAGGAAATGGGCCAAAATTGAATTTCGCGAGACAAACATGGCGACCATTTTGAAAATAGGCAAGCTTTTGAACCAGGAGTCATAGGGGAGTTTTTTGTATTGATGTTGAACAAAAATAACTTGAAACTGGAATCCTATCGACAGAGGTTTTAAGCAAATGGTCCAAAAGAGGATTTCGCGAAACAGATGGACAAATCAATGTTAACTAAAATGGCTGAAAATAAAAAAATGGATATAATTTTTTGCTGATTTTTCGTAACAAAATTATTTCATACAACTACTCTTTACAGTGACATGGCTTTTTACATTATGCAGGACAGCTGAAATTATTTGTAAAGCTAGGAAATGGGCCAAAAGTGAATTTCGCGAGACAAGAATGGCGACCATTTTGAAAATAGGCTAGCTTTTGAACCAAGAGTCATCGACAGAGGGTTTAATGCAAATGGTCCAAAAGTGGATTTTGGAAGACAGATGGACAAATCAATGTTAACTAAAATGGCTGAAAATAAAAAAATGGATATAATTTTTTGCTGATTTTTCGTAACAAAATTATTTCATACAACTACTCTTTACAGTGACATGGCTTTTTACAATGCAGGACACTTGAAATTATTTGTAAAGCTAGGAAATGGGCCAAAAGTGAATTTCGCGAGACAAGAATGGCGGCCATTTTGAAAATAGGTGAGCTTTTGAACCAGAAGTCATAGGGGAGTTTTCTGTATTGATGTTGAACAGAAATAACTTAAAACAGGGATCCTATCGACAGAGGTTTTAAAACGTGCCACTGTTGTTGACGGAAAAGTGGCTTTCGCAAGTCAGATGGACAAATCAATGTTAACTAAAATGGCTGAAAATAAATATGGATATAATTTTTCGCTGATTTTTTGTAACAAAATTATTTCATATATCTACTCTTTACATTGAAATGGATTTTTACAATGTAGGACACCTGAAATTATTTGTAAAGCTAGGAAATGGGTCAAAAGTGAATTTCACGAAACAAAAATGGCGGCCATTTTGAAAATAGGCGAGCTTTTGAACCAGGAGTCATAGGGGGGTTTTCTGTATTGATGTTGAACAGAAATAACTTAAAACAGGAATCCTATTGACAGAGGTTTTAAAAGTGCCACTTTTGTTGACGGACGGACGGACGGACACACGCATGGACAGACGGACAGACAGACGGACAAGTGAGTGATTGCAAAAGCTCACCATGTGAGCTAAAAATGTTAACCCAATAGTATCTTCCAGTGAATTGCAACATACCCCTATATAAATGTCAATATCCTCATTAATCAAGGACCAATTCTCATGAAATATGGCTCAAAACACTAAATATGAGATTTTTGTAAGATATTTAGATGAAGGGGTTCTCAGAGATTGGGTCACAGGGGGTAACTCCCCCCCCCCCATCTAACCATTTGTGTAGGTAACATGCCCTTTAATTGTTGAATGGTTAAAACTGCTTCAAAATTGTCAATGAAAATGTAAAATGTGTTTTCTGCTCAAATAGTGTCCCATTTACCATATGGTATGCTTTTTTAAGATCATTTAATGTGTTTCAACAATTTCCGTGAATAATCACTTTGATAATTTCTATGAATGTTCATCTCTCTGGTAGTAATGTACTACAGTAGAACCTGCTAAGTGGAACACCTCGCAAGTGGAACACTTTTTCAAAGTCCCGTTTTAGAAACCCTTTGACTTAATGTTAATTGAACCTCTGTAAGTGGAACACCTCCAAACTTGAACAGTGAACACCCCACATTGAAAAATTAACCTGCTAAGTGGAACAGTCAATTCTCCATAAATTTCAATATATAAGGGTTATGTACTGGGAAGTTTTGGATATGGGGTTTATCCAGAGGGAGATATGCATATCTTCCTGAGGGACCGTAGGGACCGAAGGTAGATGTGCATATCTCACGAGGGATGGACCCAATATCCAAACCGACCGTACATAACTGCTTTATCCTATACCAAGTAGAGTTTTCTAATTTTCTTTCAATTTTTTTTCAATTATTTTTTCAATTTTTTCACATTTTTTAATTTTTTCAAATTTTTTTTTTATTTTTTCAATTTTTATTTTTTCACATATTTCCTTTTTTTCAATTTTTTCTTATTTTTCAAATTTTTTTTTTGAAGCAGGAAGATATGCCCTGGAGTGGGAGATATGGCGGAGATATGGAGGTTCAGGATATGGAAACCTCAAAATCAGGATACGGGATATACCTTACCAACTTATCTCCCTAAAACTCTACTTGGCATAGGATAATGATACTTATGTAAACAGAATTAAGCTCCTACAGTGATATCTGGGTATGAAAACAGGTAATAACATGATAATTGGCAAATTAGAATTTTAACGGATTACCATATAACAAATTGGATTAACCTCCTGTAGAGATCAACATGTGATGCTACCACTAATTAATTTGATAATCAGTAAATTAGGATTTCATAAGATTATCATTCATCAAATTGGATTAACCTCCTGTAGAGATGGACATGTGATTCTACTACTAATTAATACCCCTTGCTGTTAGTTGACTTGATAAGTAAGATTAAGAATGTCAGTTAAAAACAAATGAATTATAAGCAGTAGGAACTAGTGTTTAAAACTTAATTGCCAAATCTTTGTGCCTGAGACTGACAGAATGAGGAGGATTAAGAATGTCAGAAAACATTTTTGGCAGAATGAAGAGGATTAAGAATGTCAGAAAACATTTTTGGCAGAATGAAGAGGATTAAAAATGTCAGATACCTTTTTGGGTAAAATAAATGGATAATTAATGGTATATAGCTGTCCTACAATGATAGGAAAATCATATTTCCAGTGATACATATAAACCCTATTTTTTATCTTGTATGTTCTTTAAATCCCAGCGAACCCAAAACCTCTGTAAGTGGAACACCTCCTAAGTGGAACACTTTTTGGCAGAACGGAGGGTGTTCCACTTACACAGGTTCTAGTGTATTAACAAAGTTGTTGATTTTCTTTCTCATAAAATAAATATCCCTGAGAAAGAAAATCAACGCCTTTGTTAATAGTACACTTTTGTAATGTTTTGCACAATATCTAATTTTCGGCATGTTTGTTTAAGTCTTGTAATTTCTTCAAAATTCAAGGCTGAGAAAAAATTATGGCATCAACAAACATTTTAGATCTTTCTCTACAAGATGTAATAATATGAGCCAATTCATGCATGTATTAAGGAAAATATACCCTGTTCCAGAGGTTCACTTTGTTTTTGGACCACCCTGTATATAGTTATAACTAGAAAAACAGCAACTCCACGGAGTAGCAAATCATTGAACAAAACATGTTTTGGTAAATAGTGGCCATATAAAAGTTGAGCCAAATCCATCCACTGGTATATAAATTATCAAAGATTGTGTTTTTATGAAACATGGTTGCCATTTTGAAATTCAGCTGTCATCTTTAGATTTCTCCTTTAGCAGAGCTCCTATGACCAAAGCCCTCAGCATATACAATTTAATCCAAATCCGTCGACTGATACTTTAGTTATCAAAGGTTACATTCTTTTATGAAAAATGGCGACCATTTTGAAATTTAGCTGCCATCTTGAAAATCCCTTCTCGAACAGAGCTCCTATGTCCCTAGGCATCAGCATGTAAAATTTGAATCAAATCCATTCAATGGTATTCGAGTTATCAAAGATAACGTTTTTTTCTGAAAAATGGCCGCCATTTTGAAATATGGTGGCCATCTTGAAAATGTCTTCTTGAGCAAGGCTCCTTTGTACCCAGGCAACAGCATATAAAATTTGATCCAAATCCATTCAATGGTACTTGAGTTATCAAAGATAACGTTTTTTTTTACAAAAAATGGCCACCATTTTGAAATATGGTAGCCATCTTGAAAATGTCTTCTTCAGCAAGGCTCCTTTGTACCGGGGCAACAGCATATAAAATTTGAACCAAATCCATCCACTAGTATTTGAGTAATCAAAGATTATATTTTTTCCGAAAAATGGCCGCCATTTTTAATTTAGCGGCCATATTGAAAATTCCTTCTCGAGCAGAAGTCCTACACCCATAAGGCATAAGCCTATAAAATTTGAATGAAATCCATCAACCGGTATTTGAGTTATTGCCCGGACACACGAACGGACGGACGGACGAACGGACGGACGGATGAACAGACGGACGAACGGACGGACGAACGGACGAACGAACGGACGGACGGCTTTTCTATATCCCCCTCGAACTTCGTTCGGTGGGATAATTACATTATATACATACTCTTACCTGTCTATCTGTCTGAGCAGGTTTAATCTCCCCTTTTGCACCTCCCCTAGGAGAGTTACCCTCAGACTGAAAACAAAAGAATAGTCTTGAATAAATCACATAGTTAGCTAATGCAGTCCCAATCTATATACTGTAGTACCGAATGGCAATAATTATAATAATTATAGAATAAGCACAATGGACAAAACTACAACATGTGTCATACTATACTAACACTACACAGTATAATTAGTAATAGAGCGTAATAAGACATCGTTTCATAGTACCAGACAATTATAAGAAAGAATCATATGGCTCTACACGAGGGTTACTTGTGAAAGGGCATTGATATGTGGTATTTAATTCTAGACACCTTTCATAGTGACAAAATTGAAGTCAGTCTAAACAGTATTTGTCAAGTTATTGGAAGTTGTAAGAAATTGTTACAGACGCCGATCGCCAACCACCAACCACCATCCACCGATCGCTGTCACAAAAAATGGAGACCATAGCAATATGTCAGCACTTTTTGGTGGTGACATAACAAAAAAGTTATTCAACTTGAGGTGGATGGCACTTTTTTGTGTCACCCTGTTCTTTCAGATCTAAGGATAAATTCATGAGAATAGTTTAAGAGGGGATAGAAATGATGGTACTAACACTACAGTGGGAATTATTGTTAGTATGAGTTTGTTCTTCCCCTGAATTTATCCCTTTGTTGGTCTTAAGGTGCTCCTTTTTCTCCTTGTTCTTGTTTGAGACATAGTCTTGATTCTCCACTTCGGAGGCATTGTTTTTGGTCTTTCCTTTATCTTTACTGTTGTCACCTTCCTCGGTGTCTTTTTGCTTTTCCTGTTTGCTTTGCTGGATACAAATGTTAGTAGTGAAAGCAAAAAGTAAAAAGAAAGATGTCAAGATGTGATGAGCAAACTCAATATTCTTTTTTTCTCTATAACAACCAGCACTTGAGCAAAATAATTCTGAGCATTAAAAAATCCTAAATGTCTAAACATAAAAATGTTCAAAAAAATATATTTTGGTGTAACAGGTATATTTTGCCTTATGCATAGATGGCAGTCAGTTTCCTACAAGGAATGTTCTATTCTCTTCATTTGAATTGTCCCAATTTAGAGTTTAAAAATATGTTTTTATCAATCTTTTTTTTTTACTATTTGTCATGACTCATTTTATATTGTCAGTTTTTCATTTCTCAAATATGAATTTCCCGCCATTTTTAATGATCTAATATCCCACTATTTAGTGCAAAAACATTATCTTTTTAACACCATGCAAAGACAATAAAATGTCATATTTAATGTGCCAATTAAATGTTTTAGCATATCAAAAATATTTTACAACCTAAATGACCTCATTGTGACATCACTCAGGTGGCAAAAAATATTTGAAAACAAGGCATTAACATGACAAAATGTCACCACCTTGGTGCTCACAATATTATGAGTTCAATCTTAGTCGGATTTGAATTTCTGAGAACTTGTAGATGATTTTGAAAAAAATTGAAGTCAGTCTAAACAGTATTTGTTAAGTTATTGGAAGTTGTAAGAATTTGTTACAGACACTGATCGCTAACTGCCGTAAAAAAACCTTTTTGAACTTTTTTGACCTTGAGAAGGTCATTGAAGGTCAAATCTCAAATCTAAAGTCAGATTTGAACTTCTGATAACTTTTAGATGATTTTGAAAAAAATTGAAGTCAATCTAAACAGTATTTGTTAAGTTATTGGAAGTTGTAAGAATTTGTTACAGACGCCTATCGCCAACCGCCGGTCAAAAAAAAATGGAGACCATAACAATATGTCACCACTTTTTGGTGGTGACATAAAAATTGAAAATCTTTTTTCCATGTCAATCTTTTCTAAATAAGATAAACTTCAAAAATAAACCAATATAGGTGATGGGCTAGCTCTTAAATTGCGGTATGGAGGTAGAATTTTGGAGACCATGCTAGTTACATCCTAATTTGTAATTCTCACCACAATTTGGCAATAATTAAGCAAAATTTTACAGCGTTTAGGAAAAAATCAATATTTATACCCCCCACATGACAAAAGTAGGGGGTACATAGAAAATAATTAATAACTTTACAAAAACATTATGAATAACCACATTTTTTTCAGAATATATGCACATATATGTCATTAATAACTGGTAAAAAATTGGTGACTATAGGTATGATGGTTGCTATGGAAACAGAATGTGATTGTCAAAATTTGCTAATTTGTGTCTATTTTGGGGGGCTCGTTAACGAAAAAATGCTATGTAAGCAAGTTATGCTGAAAAAATAGCATTGATTTAAGGTTTAGAAAATTGCATATATATGTCCTGCATGCATTAAAATTGGAATGATGATTGAGTCTCAATCAGATATATTTTTAAATTTTTTTTTATATGACCCACCCCCTCTAAATAATCCAAAGTGGGCGTGGCATTTAAGTGAATGATCAAGTAGATAACTTCAATTGTTTAGCCTGTATTATCACAATTTCAACAGAATGTAGGATTCTGGTATCAGTTAACAGTTTATATGATTTTGTTCATCCCCCTCAATATTTATAACCCCTCCTTCGTCACCACCACCCCTCCCGCGTGACAAAAGTAGGGGGTACCTTGAAAATGATTAATAACTTTACAACAATGCAGCGAATAACCATCAATTTTTCAGACAGGATAAATGTATATGTCATCAGTAATTGAAAAAATTCTTGGTAATTATAGGTATGATAGTTTCTTAACAGGATTTGATCGTTACAACTTGTGAAGATATTGGGAGGGGGGGGGGGCTGCTTCACAAAGAATACTATGCTAGCGAATTCTGCTGCAAAATTAGCATTGTTTTAAGGTTTAGAAAACTGCATATGTATGTCCTGCATGCATTTAAATTAAATGATGATTGGGTTTCAATTAGATTTTTTAGATTTCACTATGACCCATCCTTCTTTATAATCCAAAGTGAGCGTGACATTTAACTGTATGATCAAACCTACTTAATACAGTGTAGTTCAACATTTCTATACAATGTAGGCATCAGTTAACTTTTTATCATTTTGTTCATCCCCAAATATTTATGCCACTCCCCTCGTCTTAACATACTAAAAATTACACATGTATATGTCATAAGTAACTGGAAAAAGATTATGGTGATTATAGGTTTGATGGTTGCTATGGAAAAAGGATTCGATTGTCAAACAAAGGACCGCATGTTGTTTGTAGAATGAATCGGGTTAAAAACATCAATACACTTTAAACCATTTTATTGACTATAAAACTGCACCATATTATCCCCAAAAGATATTTCTCTTTTCAAGGATTATCTATGGATTAACACCCAGGTTTTTTATTTTTCAAACTTCAGAGGGCTAGGAATCATTGATTATGATCATATAAATGCTGTTTTAAAATAGGTTTAATGTATGCCAATAATTTCTCAAATCGTGTAAATGGTACCCATTCCTTATTCCCTACAATTTTCTCTTTGAGGAATTCCCATAGCAATCCTATGGTATAGTTCCAAGCAGATTTTGAGATAACAGGAAAGTTAATCATTAATACACACCTCATTGGGTTGTGATATAAACCAAAATAATACACCTCTTCATCACTTCTAATCATCAGAACCATGCCTGCTACAATATAATGTATCTTCTGACATTGCTTAGCGTAGATACAATATTTCCTGGTGTCAAAAATCATAGCTAGATGATGGGGGGATGTACCATAAAAGGAGGTCACGGGGTAGGTACAATGCTGTCAAAATCAAAACCTCAACAATACAACCAACAATCAACAGGCACGCAAAGTTCCTTATTGGTATTAAAAAGATTCAGTCACAAACATGTTGTTTATGATGATCAATGATGAAGATAACAGTTAACGTCCATTTGACAGCTTCACAGGCAACCGTACCGTAAATTTACATACAGTTGTGTATCTCCAACAGTATGTTATGGTACTGTTTGGGCTATGGTACTGTATGGTATGGTAATATATGGTACCAGACTAAAATAGTATTATACAGTACCATGGACACTGTACACCACCATAATAGAATGGCACAGTACGGTACTATTAATGTACCATGAGTGCAGATTGGTGGTGTTTATCAAGCCATTTGATATCACAGAATCAAGACTCCTATGCATATCATCAGGACTTCCAGCACTTACTCAAGTCAAAAAATCCACCCAGTGTTAGGAGCTATTGCTTCTTAAGAATTTATTAAATGCCCATATTAGGATCAATACTAAATCATTTGATGCGCCCAAATCAAGATGAAGAAACACCATTCAGTTTGTAATAAAAACTCATGGAGAGCCATGGAATCATGGAAAGTCCATGAGGACAGATTCTATGGTGCTTACCAAAAAGCAAATTGCAGTTATCCAGGGAGAAGGATGTGTCACAACAGTGAAAGTGTTTGTGGCAACATGTCCTTTTACCAAGTAGCCAAGTTATTGAATGATTTGAAATGCAATACAGTATATATTCTGCTCGAGAAATTCTGTGTTGGAAAGAGACAAAGTCGAGTGCCAATACATAATATTGAGAGCAGAATATATCCTGTATTGCACCTCAAATCATTCTATAACGTTTTTATCGTGTGGTCTTAGGCCAATACATTTTACTCAGAAGGTAATTCCTATGAAATATTCTGTATTGCTACTGAGATTGTCCCCTCCGTCCCAATATTTTCTGTATTGCTAAGGAGATGATCAATAAGGACAATCTCAGTAGCAATACCGATGGGTACAGCACAAGAACTGACCAATCAGAGGGCTTCATTTTACAAATCATACGATAAGTAAGCTGAATACTCTCCAGATTCATGGAATTTTGAAATCAACAAGGATTCCAATTCCTCATTCCTGACTTTATGAACTCTGAAGGCCTTGTTGAAGTGTTTTCCACTACCATCAATTGAACTGCAAATATCTAAGATTCTATAAGAATGTCCTCGAACCCTTAATCCCATATATTTTCCCACAGCACAAAAGGGTGTGGAATGTCCCCAATCTAATGAAAGCATTGCAGTGAATCATTAAAGGATCAGGCAATATTATAGACCTTCTTTTTTGCCGCTAAATCAAAGTTTGTTAATGTCACCTATTATTATAATCTCATCAAAAAATTTATTTGTGAATGACATCCTATCATTATTTCAGTTTTAATATATAAATGACACAGTTCCTAAACCTTAAAACAATGGTATTTTGCAGCATAATTTACTAGGATATGATTCTTCATAAACTAGCCCCCCCACCCAATCTACACAAATTCACAACAATCAAATCCTGTTTCTATAGAACCATCATCACCAAGAATTATTTCAATTTATTGATGACATATACATTTATTCTGTCTGAAAAATTGGTGGTTATTTGCTGCATTGTTGTAAAGTTATTAATCATTTTCAATGTATCCCCTACTTTTGTCCTGCGGGAGGGGTGGTGGAGGAGGGGGAGGGGTTACAAATATTGAGAAGGGATAGAAAAATCATAGAAAATGTTAAATGATACAAGAATCATACCTTCTGTTGAAATTGTGATAATACTGGCTATACAATTGAAGTTATCTACTGTTAAGTAGGCTTGATCATTCAGTTAAATGCCACGCCCACTTTTGATTATTTAGAGGGGGTGGGTCATAGAAATTTTTTTTAAAAATATTTCTAATTGAGACTCAATCACCATTCCAATTTTAATGCATGCAAGACATATATATGCAATTTTCTAAACCTTAAAACAATGCTATTTTTGCAGCATAACTGGCTAGCATAGGATTTTTTCGTTAACTAGCCCGCCCAAAATAGTCACAAATTAGCAAATTTTGACAATCAAATTCTGTTTCCATAGCAACCATCATACCTATAGTCACCAATCTTTTACCAGTTATCAATGACATATATGTGTATATATTCTGAAAAAATTGTGGTTATTCATAATGTTTTTGTAAAGTTATTAATTATTTTCTATGTACCCCCTACTTTTGTCATGCGGGGGGTATAAATATTGATTTTTTCCTAAACGCTGTAAAATTTTGCTTAATTATTGCCAAATTGTGGTGAGAATTAAAAATTAGGATGTAACTAACATGGTCTCCAAAATTCTACCTCCATACCGCAATTTAAGGGCTAGCCCATAACCTAATATTGATTGACTAATATATCATGCTTTAAATATTATTATACCATTGGTTTCTATGAGAACTAAAACTTTGAAATGCAATTTTCTCTGAACTATTTTCATGCATGAGTTCATTTCTCACTTATTCATGAGCCATATTTTCTGAATTTTTTCGGCCAAAAAAATGTGACGATGAGTGCTATGCATTGGTGTGAATTATCAATTTTTAAAAGATATGTGTAACCTCTAAAAGTTAATTTTGAATAAATTCATGATTTGTCCAACAAAAAGTCCTTCAAAAATCACTTTTTGAAATTGAAAAAAAGGTTCACATATCACATTTTGATAGCATTTGGTAAAAGTAGTTTAAACTTTATATGGGGGCTTTAACAATGGTTATTGGGAGAATTAAGCATTCGTGTTGGATGATAAGCAAGAAGCTATTTAAGGAAAGTTTTAAGTTCCTTGTCAACATTGAAGCTTTTGCAAAATTATTTTCATAAAAACATCCATGAATGTAGGGTCATAGGGAGCATATCAAAAGATCGATATCGGAAAAATAACTGTATTTACACAGTTAGGGGGGGGGTCATTGGCCTAAAAACTTAGCGTTCCGACATCATTCCCGGGAATTCAATTAGCGATGCTCTCTTCGTCCAGTACACTTCCGATACAAAAAATTTAAAAAGGAAATCAAAACGATTTAAATCTTACTAAAAATGAGTTTTTTGAAGCCAATATAAGCTAAACCCAGTTATAAATGAGAGAAGTTTGTAAATGGGGTGTGGTTCAAATCAAAAAACTCCAAACCAAACCACAAAATCGCTGATAAGGCTAATTAAATGTGGTCGGAATACAAAAATGATCAAACAAAATTGGATTTATTCCTGAATCAAGATAGTGGGACGGTTCAATGATGAGATCATCAGATAACTGACTTTTTCAAGGCAGACGATCCAGCTATAAAGCCAATGAATATGTGTTGCATGCATCCAAATGCCTTTCATATTATTGTTTTCATTCAAATAACCCCGCAGTTCTGTAATACTACTGCTGGTGCATAATAGCTCTATGGCTACTGTACGTGTACCTTCTTCCAAGACAGTCCCTGTATTTTAAAAGTTCAAAAATACAGATTTGAAGTTATGAAAAATGACTGTATTACATCGTATTATGTTAGATATAGTGTAAATTTCGAAATAACGCATATCAACATTTCTCAAACACAGTTATGAGGGGGGAGGGGGGGGGGGTCACAGATTAACTGTGCAAATACAGTTAATAATCCTCCATTGAACTTTTGATATGCTCCCTTAGGGTTCCATGCATACATCAGCAATATGGTGATTACATTTATTTTGACGTTAGCAATTTTGAATGCATATTTTCATGAAGTTATAAAAATGGTGTCTATCTTTATAAAAAATGTACTTTATTGAATAAGTCCCTTTGTCTAAAGTAAACACTCATTGGACATAGACTAATATTTTTAGGTTCTTCTACAATGGCATTCAAAAATGGAACCAAAGTGTTCATAGTTTATGGTGTTCACAATAGAATGGTGTTCTCATTATAACCAACTATATATGGACCCTGGGGTTAACTTACCCTAGTGCTCCTTGGGGAGCTGGAGTCCCCAAAGTCTTTGGCTGACTCCCCCCACAGGTCCAGGAGGTAATTGTGCCTTTGGTAGTCATCCTCCTGTAAAACAGAGACAGAAATATGAGAGATGATCATTATTAACATATACCATTATACCCCCTGTATTGTCTCCATATCAAACATTTGATTAATCAGAGTACTAATATTAGTAATAAACGTTCTACATTTTATAACCACCCTGGCCTGTTCTAAGGGTAATAGTACAGTCTGTTAAGCATAAAAAGGCAAGCAGTTGACTTAGAATAAGAGTTATCTCATAAACAGGACACTCATGTGCCTTCTAGATGGTAGTAGATAAGACACCTGAGATAACAGGAAAGTACACACATTGGGTTGTTTTGGTTTATATGGCAACCAAAAAAGGTGTGTTTTAAAGATTTACTTTCCTGTTATCTCAAAATCTGCTTGGAACTGTACCATCGAATTACTATGGGAAATTCCTAAGATAAAATTCTGGGGATTAAGGAATAGGTAACGTTTACACAATTTGAGAAATTGGTATACATGAAACCTATTTAAAACAGCATGTATATTATTCAAAAGCGAATAGGATCAATGATTCCCAGTCCTCTGAAGTTTGAAAAATGAAAATAAATAATCCTTAAAAATGAGAAATATTTTTTGGGGATTATATGGTGCAATCTTATAGTCAATAAAATGGTTTAAATTGTATTGATGTTTATCTACAATGCATCAAAGTTTGTGACAAAACCTTTGTACTATATAATGTATAAACAGTTAAGTATTTAGGTAAACTTACCCAATCTCTTGTTTGATACTTTGGTCGTACTTGATCCAACATTTTGGCAATTTTCATATTTTCAAGGGCAATTTTCTCTTGTTCTCGTTCCCTATAATGTTGATTGAGACTTCTGGGGTGGTAGTCGTAGTTCCAGTTGTCAACACCACCCCTCCCACCTTTCATTATACCAGTCATTTTCTGCAGCAACAGTTTATTGTCATGATCTATCTCTGCTTGGCGATTCTCCTCCATCTAAAAATTGAAATTAAATCTAAGTTCAATGGCCATAATACCAATGAAGAGATAATGGTAAATGATAGTGCATCAAACAACTAAGATTTCTAAATCAATAATCTATGGAGCAAGGGCAGCCACTATTTTACGACAATTTGGTCGAATTTCAAAGATTAGTTTGATGACTTCAAATAATAATGAAATAAAATTATTTTATTCCGGCTGTATAATGATGTTTTCATTTTCGCTCACTTTTAACTTTGATATAGAGCCGTTTTAATTTGGATATGCCATATAATGTTTGCATGAAAAAATGACATGATGTTATCATTAATGAGGCACCCGCTTCCCATGTGAATCTCCAAATAAAGCAATATAAATCGTAATTAAACTCTAAAATTGTGGAATGTAATGAGATTATGTGATGCTAATGTTATCCATTCATCCACTGTTTGATTTAAACAAACGTTGTGCTTTAAATATTTGTTTCACATGGCCTTTTATCCAAAAAATGTGAGCCCTACCACAAGTCCCCTACAGTAATATGTGATGTTTTCGTGTAAAACACAAATTGCACATGTAATTTCCAATTCAATTTTTCTCAAAATTTCTCAAGGAGATCTTTTTTTAAATCTCAGTACTTATCATTTGTATACTGAAAAAAACGATTTTAGAAGAATATCACAATTTTCGCTAAGTGAGTTCAAATGTATTTCATATTTTCAAGACGATATGAACATACATGTAAAACTTAATTCTAGATTATATCTCATCCAAAGATAGTAGAAATACACTGAGCCTGATAAATAAATAAAATATACCTTTTAATATGTGATTTTAGCTTGTTGGGATAATTTTCTACAAAATTTTAAAAATTATATTGCAGGGCTCTCGCTAGGCTTTTGGACTGTGGCGCAGCTCCACACTCTATTTAGCTCCCACCACAATCTATTGGCAAATCATGATTGTTCTCACAGTCTAAACTTGACTAAATATACAATAATAGCATGTAAATAGGTTAAAATCCAATGTAAATATGATTTATCACAATTGAACAATTATGCTAAAAATGATTCCACCACACCCTAAATATTTCCTGGTGAGAGCCCTGATATGTGTTTTTCTGCTTTCTTATAACTAAAATTCAAGAAATGATATCATTGCAATGAAGCAATATAATTTAAACTTAATTTTCTCAAAATTTCTCGTGAAAAGTTCATTAAAATTTTGTCAGTTAATCAATTGAACCTGCAGAACAAAAAAGAATAATAAGCCACACGGTAAACAGAATCGCACCCTTGAACAGAATACACTTTTCGGGATGGAAAATTCAAAATGGCCACCTTAACATTTACCCAGACTGCCTAAAAACTAATCAGTTCTAAACTTTCCATAGAAACATCTCTAAAATTTTAGGATGAATCCATGAAACCTGTAAACTACCCTCAAGAGACACGTTTTAAGGTATTACTTCACAGTGCATCAGCTTTTTTTCTACAATTCAGATTTTCCTGAAAAAAATCCTGGTAAAAGATATACTGATGCATATTACAAAATATGTGAAAATTGGAAAGATTGACTGTTAGTTATTTCTAAAAAATGTTTTAATTTAACATTGCTCTCAATGGGAAATTCTTTTTTATTTTAAAAAAAATCCCACAATTCAGATTTTCCTTAAAATAATTGGGACCATTCTATGTTGATTCGTATGCAGTGTAAACGAGTCAAAATGTTTATTTGTATGCAGTGTACGCAGCATACAATATCTGCTACTCCTATACACAAGACATATCAAATTGTTTTTCATGCTATATCTGTTATATATTTAATGATCATATACATTGCAGAAGACTCTGGGAAACATTGTCATCTTATTAAATAAGGCTTTACTCCCCCCCTAACGTAATTAATTACATTTTTTGACGTATATTGAAATATTGACCCAACTACTTACCTGAGCATACATGTACACTACATCTTTGATTAAACACAAGAGAGTGCTATGCTACGATGTTCCTGCTTGCCTTTTAACTCACTCGGTCAGTTTGTCATGTTGGTACCAACCTTTACATTCTTCGATGGTTTGAACACCACTATAGCCAGAGCGGTCGACCTTTAAGCGCTACCTGCTGTACACACTACTCTGCCCTTGTTGGTAAAGGGATGGTGAACAAACACTCGGTGAATGTATTAGCAACTGTCAAATAAGTCATTGGTTAATGTTGTCTCCCCTGTGCCCATTTGTCATTTCTCCTCAGCCAGAGCCAGCGGGAGGCTTCCTCTGCTGCAGATCCAACTGCTCTGTTCGCTCTCTTGAGCCATGAGGGTGGGAGTCCTACATTCTTGAACATTCGGTTGAGAGATGTTGATGGAAATCCTCTACAACCTACTTCAACGGGATAGTAATGAACTTTCCACCCTTTGGCCTCTATCTCCTCAACCAGATCTTGGTACTTTGCGCTTTTGAGTTGGTGTGCTACCTCAATTCGATCTTCCCAAGGTACTGTCAGTTCTATCATGACAGCAATTCTTTTATCCTCTGAGAATAAAAGCATATCTGGTCTTTGGTTTGTTGTCGTGATACTGCTGGGAAAGGTGAGTCTTTGGTGTAGATCTACTCTCAGCTCCCAGTCCTGTGCTTGTTGTAAGATGCCATATCTTCCTCGAGAGGTGTGCCTGCTACCGCTAGGCAAAACCTTCCCTTTAGGATTTGCGTTAGCACCCACAAAATGTTTCTCTAAGGGTTGCAACATATCTGCCCTTGGTCCTGGTGTTACAGTTGCATTCGTTTTGTTCATGATCCGTGATTGGTCCACCCAGTGAGAAATCTTTTGAAGAACTTTGTCATGCCTCCATGTGTACCTTCCCTCTGCAAGTGCAGCCTTGCACGAACTCAGGATGTGTTGGATGTTACTTCTCAGAGCTCCACAGTGGATACATGATGCATCTTCATTAAGACCCCAGGTAGTGAGATTGGCAGGAGATGGTAAAAGATCAGATATTGCTCTTAATAAGAAGCTTATCTTGCCCTGCTCCATATCCCATATGTCTTTCCATGAGAGCTGTCGATCGAGTGTAGACTCCCAGTGGGTCCATGCACCTTGTTTGACTAATTGTGCTAACCTCACCTGTCTACCCTCTTCCTCTGATTGCCTTATCTGCTGTACTACAAGCTTCCTTCTTGTCTCTGTGTTGGCATCTTTCCACCTGGATGTGCCATAGTTTCCAAGGCCCATCCTACCTTTGCAAACGACACCTACTATGTCCTTATGACGGAGTTGGCTTTCAGCAATACCGATTGCCTGTTGAGGATTCCATCCCCTCCCGCTCGATATTGTTTCTCCCGAGCTAGTAACTTTATTGTCCTTTGAAGAGCGTAGAGTGGTTACTGCTCTTACTTTGGCTGCTTTGTACTCTTCAAGTTCTGAAGTTACCGGGAGGCTGAGCTTGGGAGATTTACTGAATAGAATACCTCTGCTGAATGAAGGTGGTACACCTAGCCATTTCCTAAGGAACCTTGATGACATTCTCTCCATTTGCTCAACCTTGCCCATAGGGAAGTCATAAAGCAGAAACGGCCATTGTAGTCTTGAGATAATTCCATGCTGGAACGCCCATGCCTTGAACTTGCCCTGGAGCTGGCATTTGTCAATCGCTCCGAGCCATCTCTTGAGCTCACACACAACATTGTTCGTATTGTTGATGTCGTTCAAGGAATCATCATAGTGTTTACCGAGGCATTTAATGGGCTGTTCACTGACAGTAGGAATTCTCTCTCCCTGGATAGTGAATGTGTTTGATTCTACTTTCCCCTTGATGATAACGAGGCTTCTGGATTTAGCTGGTTTGAACTTCATCCTAGCCCAGGTGGCCATTTTATCAAGCCCCTGTAACACCCATCTTGTTCCAGTCATAGTTGGTGTCATGACAGTTATGTCATCCATGAATGCTCGACAAGGAGGATGGCGTTCTCCTGAGTCTGCAACTGGGCCTCTACATTCTTTCTCTGCCGCAGTGAGGATGACATTCATGGCTGCCACAAATAGCACCACTGAGACTGTGCACCCAGCCATTATGCCCTTCTCTAGCCTTTGCCATTTGGTGGTATTAGTCTTCTACTGTAAATCGCATCTTAAGAGTGTCAAAATGATGCATGAGGAGACTGATGACTTCATCTGGGACATGATAGTGGGTCAGTGCTGTCTTTATAAGCTGGTGTGGGATACTCGGATAGGCCTTGGCTAGGTCAAGCCAAACGACTGCTAGGGTTTTCCTCCGTTGTTTTGCTTCTTTAATCAGTTGTGTGATGGCTGCAGTGTGTTCTAAACAGCCAGAGTAACCAGGTATTCCTCCCTTCTGGACACTTGGGTTCAGATATTTATTCTCCAGTAAGAAAGATGTCAGTCTTCTGGCGATGACTGTCCAAAATATCTTACCCTCTACATCCAGCAGTGAGATTTCCCTGAACTGGTCTAGTTTCACTGAGTTTTCCTCTTTCGGTACAAAACAGCCCTCTGCTAATGCCCATGCTTTTGGAATGGTTTTGTTTCTCCAAATAGACTTAATGAGCTTGCTGAGTCTTTGTAGTAGCTTTGGACAGTTCTTGTACACTTTGTATGTGTTCCCTGATGGTCCTGGGGCTGACGATGATCAGGCATGTTGCACTATCTGTCGTATCTCCTCCATCTTGATGTCACCTAGGTCAAATGCAATCTTCGGAGGTGGCTCAGGAATAGGTAAAGGACATTCCCCTAATGGAGTTGCTCTCTCAGGATCACTGTGAGCAGCTTGAACACTTTCCTCGACATCCTCCTTTGGGCATTGTAATTTCCCACTTTAGGTTTCCCAAGTAAGTTGGATGTATACTGGAATGGATTCTTGAGAAAAGATTTTCGAGCTCTCTTCTTTTCTCTCTGCTTTTTCCTGAGGTTCTCTGCTCTTCTAAGAACTGAAAGCTGCTTCCTGAGGCTGTCTCTTAGATCTTCCAGTGCCGGTTTTTCAAAGTCAGGGGCATGCTTCCATCTCCATGTGAGCCTTCTCATATCTCTTCTTAGTGCAGCTATTCTCTTCTGTCTCCTGCTAGGTCCAGCTTTACCCTCTTTCTTGTTGTTTGCTCTCTTCTCCTGGAATCATTCTGCACACATGGCGTACACTTGTCTTGTCATTGATTCCATCTTCTTACCAGCTGTCCCTTTCAAGGAGTTCTCAAGTACATCATCCATCTCATCATCAAGTTCTTTCCAAACTTTGTCTGTTGTTGCAGGCAAGCGCAGTCTTGGCTTCCTTTCGAGAACTGGGCCATCATTCTCTTCTCTACCAACTACATGCACAGATTAGGCCATTCAAAATTAAGTATATGTTGACATTCTGATGAAAGGCCTCATATAAAAAACTACAAAACCTTTACTTATTAAGTTTTCTTTTATTTAATAGAGAAATACACTAACACATACTGACAAAACAAGTGACACACCTCTTGAGTTCAGATACCCTTGTTATTGACAATATTCGAAGCTTAAATACTATACTCTAGAAACTCATTTTACGACAATATGATCTAAGATCAAAGTTGTAAATAACCCGCTCTGGGTTCTTAAGGACAGTCAAGCTAATTGTGTGTGTGTGAATGTGTGTATGAATGATAACTCTGGTGTGTTGAGCGTAACATCCGTTCCCTCTAGTCAGGTCGACTGATGAAACAACCATTTTTTGAGGGTTGCCGAGTTGGCCGAACGGTCTATGGCGCTAGAACGAACTCAGCTATGCGATGACGTCATAACCATGATAGTGAGTTCGAGACGCGTGAGCTCCTTGTGTTTATTCATTCATGTGTAGAAACATCCCTGAAGATTCGAAATGAATCCATCAAACGGTTTGGCTGGAAACTTGTAGACTAGCCTTGACAGACAAGATTTTAGGACGGAAAATCCAAAATGGCTGCCTTAACATTTACCCAGAATGCTGAAAAAACTAATCAGTTCTAAACTTTCATAGGTAGAAACATCCCTGAAAATTTCAAATGCATTGGTCAAAGGGTTTGGCTGGAAACCTGTAGACAAGCCTTGATAGACATGATTTAGGACGTAAAATCCAAAATGGCCGCCTTAACTTTTACCCAGAATGCCGAAAAACAAATCAGTTTCAAACGGTTTGGCTGGAAACTGTAGACAAGCCTCGACAGACAAGATTTTAGGACGGAAAATTCAAAATGACCACCTTAACATTTATCAGACAAGATTTTAGGACGGAAAATCCAAAATGGCCACCTCAACATTTACCAAGAATGCCGAAAAAATAATGAAATATAAACTTTCATAGGTAGAAACATCCCTGAAAATTTCAAATGAATCCCTCAAAAGGTATTGCTGGAAACCTGTAGACAAGCCTTCACAGACACGATTTTAGGATGAAAAATCCAAAATGGCCACCTTAACATTTACCAAGAATGCCGAAAAACTAATCAGTTCTAAACTTTCATATGTAGAAACATCCCTGAGAATTTCAAATGAATCCCTCAAACTGTTTGGCTGGAAACCTGTGGACAAGCCTTGACAGACAAGATTTTAGGATGGAAAATCCAAAATGGCCGCCTTAACATTTATCCAGAATGTCGAAAAACTAATCAGTTCTAAACTTTCATAGGTAGAAACATCCCTGAGAATTTCAAATGAATCCCTCAAACGGTTTGGCTGGAAACCTGTAGACAAGCCTTGACAGACAAGATTTTAGGACGAAAAATCCAAAATGGCCACCTTAACATTTACCCAGAATGTCGAAAAACTAATCAGTTCTAAACTTTCATAGGTAGAAATACATCCCTGAGAATTTCAAATGAATCCCTCAAAGGGTTTGGCTGGAAACCTGTTGACAAGCCTTGACAGACAAGATTTTAGGACGGAAAATCCAAAATGGTCACCTTAACATTTACCCAGAATGCCGAAAAACTAATCAGTTCTAAACTTTTATAGGTAGAAACATCCCTGAGAATTTCAAATGTATCCCTCTAACGGTTTGGCTTGAAACCTGTAGACAAGCCTTGACAGACAAGATTTTAGGACGGAAAATCCAAAATGGCCGCCTTAACATTTACCCAGAATGCTGAAAAACTAATCAGTTCTAAACTTTCATAGGTAGAAACATCCCTGAGAATTTCAAATGAATCCCTCAAACGGTTTGGCTGGAAACCTGTAGACAAGATTATTCGGGACGCCAGCCCGCCCGCCCGGCAAACTGATTACAATATAGCACCTTAGGGTGCGATAAAAAAGAAGAAAAATCCTTAGATGTGATTTTTTTTAAATGAACTTGACGCATTTATCTTTATAATATGTAAATCGTTACAGAGTTGAGATGTTCTTAACTATGAATAAAAGTACATGTAAAACAAATATTTGAGGGATAATGTATATTTAAATCAAACAGTGGATGGATGGATGGATAACACTAACATTGTGAACACTCATTACATTGTGCAATTTCTGAGTTTAAATACAATTTATTTTGATTTATTTAGAGATTCACGCATGAAACGGGTGCCTCAGCAGGTAAGTATGACATCATTTTTGATGTAAACACTATATGACCTGTATGCATATTCAAACAGCAATATTTTGAAATGTAATTAACAATGGGTGAAAATGAAAACACCATTGTACAGCAGAAATGCTAGCATTTTATTTTATAATCATTTAAAGTCACTAAATGTTGTTATACAAAACACTCATTAGAATACCCCATGAGTGAGCGAATATTTGACCACAAAGTGAATACAAATGAATTGTAACATCCAATATACAACTCACCTGTACTTTCTTGAGCCTTAGTACCAGATGGGGATATCTTTTGGGTGGTGAGTTGTCCAGTCCTGGCTTCATTGAATGCATCTGGAACAAAAGGCACATACTATTTCATTTGTTTGTTTGTTTGATTGATTGGTTGTTTGTTGTTGGATTGTTTTAGAGGGTAATTCTAATTTATATAATGTTTAATATATATTGTGCCCATACAAAGGAATACAGTAGAGCTTAAGTAAAAATGTTGGACTGTTTACACAAGCTGATCAACAATTTTGTGCTACAGGGGGCGCTAACTTATTCCAAAATGTGCGAGAATGAATGTAAAGCGTACGCTATATAGGGGAGTGCACCCCAAAAAAATAGAAAAAATAGAGCAAAATGTAGGGCAATCTGAGTATTACAATAGTTTACAAACTTATATTCAACCACTCATTAGTCAGGTATACTTCCATAAACCAAAATGTTCAAAATTATCAAAAGTATGTATAAAAAATCGAAATCTTGTCTTAAACTGCAATTGGTGTAATGCAAGGAAGTGTTGTGAGTACATTTTTGTTTAACCACTTTATTGATGATCTGGGAAAAAATCTGCCCTTAAACACTGGAGCTAAACTTGAAAATACTGAATGAATAATGAATCATCTTCTGTGGGCGGATGACCTTGTACTAATATCTAACTCAAGAATTCTATAGGAGTTTATATATGCTACTTAACTATTAACTGTCAAATTATGGCTAAAGAGAAACATGAACATTCTCTATGCAGTTGCATCAAACCAACATTTACCTCACCATCGCAAAAAAGGTAACAAGACACACAGTGATAAATATCGCACTTTGAAGAGCAAACTGGCCACCATGCAATTCACCCAGCATGGCCAAAACCTAATCAGACCTTGGCACTAGTCTGCTCTTGCATCTGTAAACATTTCAAGTTGACAAGGTTAGCCGTTTTCCTGCAATTTTGATGACAAGAATTTATTTGTAGTCTTGAACTTTGGGAAAATTTAGATAACATTGTTTGTGACCTAATTTGATGACCTTCGACCTTGAAAATTTAACTTTTTCAGACCTCAGTAGGTGTTTTGTAATTAAGCTGACCTAAATTTAAATCCAAAATATCAATTTAGAAAATCAACTTTTTGACCTTTTCAAGGCCACTGAAGGTCAACGAAAGGTCAAATCTGAAATCTAAGGTCAGATTTGAACTTCTGAGAACTTGTAGATGTTTTTAAAAAAAAAATTGGTCAATTTGGAGCAAGTTGAAAAATTCAAAATGGCCGCCAAATTGAAAAATTCAAAATGGCCACCATGTAATTCAGCCAGCATACCCAAAACCTAATCAGATCTTGGCAATAGTCTGCTCTTGCATCTGTAAAAATTTCAAGTTGAACGGATAAGTGGTTTTCCTGGAATTTTGATGACAAGATTTGTTGAAAAATTCAAGATGGCCACCACGTAGTTTACCCAGCATGCCCTTAACCTAATCAGATCTTGGCACTAGTCTGCTATTGCATGTGTAAAAATTTCAAGTTGAACAGGTTAGCGGTTTTTTTTGGAATTTTGATGACAAGAATTGATTTGTAGTCTCAAAGTTTGAGACTACAACTTCTTTTCAGTTCAGAAAATATTCTAGTTTCTATTTTCGATGACCATTATCGGCTTCCAAGAGCCTAAAGAGCTCGAAATTGCAATCCATTTCCTCCACATTTTCGTTGTGATCGTATTTGGCCGTCATTTTGTATGATTTGTTCACTAAAAACGACTTAAACACTGTTTAAATTGTTGAATTGAGAAATATTTTTCGAAACATCGCCATTTCTAGGTCAACAGGAAGTCACCTACTAAGGACTGAATAAATCGGGCAATCTAATTGGATCATAAGAACGGCGGGAAAAAGTAAAGTTTTCAAAAGTTAGATTTGTGTCGTCCGGATCCGCCGGTGGATTCTGGCGGTAATTTTGAATGGGCGGACGCGGTCGCCGGTGGTCTGCTAAAGGTTAATGACCTTGACCTTCGACTTTGAAAATTTAACTTTTTCAGACCTCAGAAGGTGTTTTGTAATTAAGCTGACCTAAATTTAAATCCAAAATATCAATTTAGAAAATCAATTTTTTTGACCTTTTCAAGGTCACTGAAGGTGAATGAAAGGTCAAATCTGAAATCTAAGGTCAGATTTGAACTTTTGAGAACTTGTAGATGTTTTTAAAAAAAAATTTGGTCAATTTGGAGCAAGTTGAAAAATTCAAAATAGCTGCCAAATTGAAAAATTCAAAATGGCCACCATGTAATTCAGCCAGCATACCCAAAACCTTATCAGATCTAGTCTGCTCTTGCATCTGTAAAAATTTCAAGTTGAACGGATAAGTGGTTTTCCTGGAATTTTGATGACAAGATTTGTTGAAAAATTCAAAATGGCCACCACGTAGTTTACCCAGCATGCCCTTAACCTAATCAGATCTTGGTACTAGTCTGCTCTTGCATCTGTAAAAATTTCAAGTTGAACAGGTAAGCAGTTATCCTGGAAATTTGATGACAAGATTTGGTTTATGTCCCGCCCGCCCGCACGCCCGCCCAACAGCACAAGACGACAACAATATAGCACTTTTTCAAAGTGCGATAATAAAAGGAAAAAGAACACTAGAAAACAGAATATAACAAGAACACAAATGTGTACAAAATGTCCCCACCAATGGGTGATCCCGTCAAATGGTTATCCTGAAAATGAGTAGACAAGACTTTACCGACGCAGTTTGAGGACAGAAAATCCAAAATGGCAGCCTTAAAATTTACCTAGAATGCCAAAAAACTAATCAGATCTAGATTTTCATACAAAGAATCATCCCTGAAAATTTGAAATTGATCTACCAAATGGTTCACCTAAAAACGCATAGACAAGACTTTACAGACAAGATTTTAAGATGGAAAATCTAAAATGGCTGCCTTGACATTTATCCAGAATGCCAAAAAACTAAACAGATCTAGATTTTCATACTAAAAATCATCCCTGAAAATTTGAAATTGATCTACCAAACGGTTCACCTGGAAATGCGTAAACAAGACTTTACAGACAAGATTTTAGGACGGAAAATCCAAAATGACTGCCTTGACATTTACCCAGAACGCCAAAAAACTAATCTGATCTAGATTTTCATACTAAGATTCATCCCTGAAAATTTGAAATTGATCTACCAAAAGGTTCACCTGAAAACTCGTAGACAAGACTTTACAGACAAGATTTTAGGACGGAAAAATCTTCACGAAGTTCTTCACGAAAACTATGAATACCATGACCTCAACAACACTGGTGTGATCACCATAGATGAGGATTACAAAAGATTGTGTTTTTATACAGAACGTCCATAGTAGTGGATAGATGCTTTAACTGCATTTTACAGAAACAAAGGTATGAAAGCCTCAACCACACGCCAAACAAATAGCACAACTGTTACTGTCGCAGAGCATGCTACAATAGAAGTAAATGATTCGGGAGTCATAGGTGTAACAGGTGAAGCACTAGATGACTGGCCGGAAAATGATTTCCAGTTAATCAAAGGAACTATCGCCCCTTTGATCCCAATGCCAGTGTCAACACCCTAACGGATTGACCCACCATCATCATCATCTACACCCCTCAATGGATTATCAATCCGTGGATATTATACCCCCCACTCAATCCCAAGGTATTCCATCAGAGAACATCACTGTCATCACAGACACACAGGAACCATCTATCAGGCCTAATACCAGTGCTATAGATATGGAGGTCAGTCAAATGCTCTTTAGCAACATTTCATCCACACTCTCAGGATCTGATCCAGATATGTCTCCATCATTGCTACAGACAAACAAAAATAATAAAACAACAGATGACACTGTAGAGACTATCACTATAAAGGACACACAGCCTTCTAGCAATGGTCTGAATACAACCCCCTCCCACCCAACAACAGATGATTTACACATGACAGAAACACTCGAGCCACCGTCCCCACCCCCAGTTTTGTGTCACTGTGCAAAGGCTCCTACTACATAATATGAAGGAGAAAACAAAAAACTCAGAAGCAAAATTATCAAACAAGCTGCCAAAATAGATGATCTCCTATAGCGTTTACAATGTAGAAGTAAATGAACTTCAGAGGGAGGATGAAGCAGAAGCACAACAGTTACTGTTTGACAGTAGAGTCAGAGATCTTGACAATGAACTCTCAACAGTTAGAAATGAGCTTGACTACAAATCAATATTTTTCGATGAAAGTCAGAGTATATATTCCTCTAAAGGTTCTACACATATTAGCAATTGACTATCTATTAAAAATGTGCACTAGTTTTGAGATACTTGATCTCAAACTAAAAAAAAGGTCAAAGGAGTAGTATCGATATGGAGAACTGAATTCAACAATGTTTTTCTCTTAAACCAATCATTGAAAACATTCTGTAAAAAGTACCTTGTTGGAACAAAATAGCATATACAACATGTTTTTAGACCTCTCAATATTATAGTTATACAAAGGAATTTTTGGTTGATTTTAAAAATAATGATTACTTTGTATTTTCTACAGTATTAGAAATAAGGTGACTTTCAATATTTATGAATTTCATGTCATTTATCTCAATGGCCAAAGTTTGTAAAATAAGAGAGGCACAAAAACCTTGCAAAACAACTATTTACTATTGAAAACATAGAGCATAAAGTATTTCTTTCGTTTGTGTGCTTGAGATTACTTTTACAATTTTTTCTTAATTAGAAAATATGACTAAAGAACATAGGGAAATTAATAAGCCTTTTTTATTCTCACTTTTTAAAATTACCTATTGGCGTTTTGGCGTACATTGTTCTTATGCCACTGCATGTATGATGGAAATAGGGGCTATTTTCTGATTTGCATTATCCTCATCTATCTTTCTGTATAGAGAACAGGTACAAATTACTGATAGCTAACATTAATACTGACATAAAAGCTAATTTGCACGGGTGATAAAAGCGATAATACAAAATCTATTAACCCTCACTTATTTCTCAGTGACATGGATAGCAGAGCAGAAAAGCAATAAATGATATTGTCATGAAATAAGTATACCTACAT